AGCTTAAGCCATCTCTCTTCAAGAGCTTCCGCTGTTTCCTTTACTATCGCACTAACCGATATATATTTCCCATCACCGGCTGAACATTTAGAAGATTCTGGCACATATGTAGCTTCCTTGGCAGCAATCTCGTTATTCGCTTTGTAGGATCAGAAGGGTTTCGTGTCACATCTTCCGCTGTATGTGGTAGTTCAGACACAGAATCACCATCTTTCCAACTATTATGTTCAAATGGGTAGTCATCAAATATCATTTCCATCATATGCTCAACTTTCATCATCCTCCTCATCTGAGAAGGATATATCAATGCCCTCAGTTGCAAACTCTTCGTTTAGTAGTGACCGCACATCAACCTATTAACCACAAAATCACAGATTACACTAACTTTTTTGATACATTTTTTCCATAACATTGTATTAGATAGTTTACCTGGCATGTCTGATCTATAACACGCGCATTTTGGACATTTATGGTAAGGCTTCTCTCCACAATATTCTGAACATTGTCATTGACTGGCACTGTTGGATCAAACATGTTGATCCCAATAGATGGGTATGGGATTATGGCTGGGCAACACACTACTGTAACAAAAACTAATGCATGTGCGAACCCTTGGATGGCACAAGAGACATGCGTGAAATGTTTAACAGTATTGGACTTCGCACTCTTAACTTTATTGAGGAATAATTCACGGCCCCAAAGATAGCTCAGAAACACATCAACATCAGCAACCAAATTAACATGTTCTCGACCTATGTTTGTATTTCCACAGGTAAGGCATAGAATCCCATCCACGATGAGTGGCAAGGGAAGCCTAAAACGTGTTTCCGCCAACTTGGTTAGTTGTTCATCAGTCAGCGCCTTCTTGATGTGTTCGATCCACCTTAGGTTAAAGTAATTGTTAACTCGATTTCTCCCGAAAGGCTCACCTTCAGCAGCGAATAGCCGATCGGGAAATCTTTTGTCTTCCATCACCTAAATTAAGTTAACCAAACATCATTTTATATCAGATTTACAAACATCGGTATAACCTATGTCTGTTGGTTTATATAAGAATTGAACTATTGAGTTCTGAGGTTGAGGAGAAGATAAACACCAAACACCAAAGCCAAATCCTAATATGCATACGCATTATCGAAAAGAATTAGAAAACCTAAAAAAAGCAAAACCATAGAAGCTTTCTGAAGACTGCATACTTTGGATTCGGCCTCTTCACTCGAATGGGCCTCGTATTCACGACGCGTGGCCCATCAACTTGCAAATAGAAATCCAAGTTATTATATAGTAATGGTTTACCGTTTGTAGATTTAAGTTAACTGAGTGTAAATGAATCAGACTCTTCAAACCAGTATAGATAGATTCTCACGGCCACAACTATCTAAACGCCGAAAAACAAAAACGCTCCTTGACCGATGAGTAAGGACTCGAAAATTAAGTTGCTTTGTTGTTGTTATAAACACCCGGATTCAATATTAAGTAAACAGCTCGATTTTAAGTAAACAGAACACTAACGAGTGCCGCTCAATATTTGCAGAGATCTCTATTTATACCCACCGCCGTCATACACCACTCGCCGCCAAACATCGGGATATCATACCATATGACAGAACCGATTTCGTTATTCACTCATCTCGCATCGACACTTCCCTACATTCGTGACCGCCGTTGTTCCTCTTCTGTTGGTGACTCGAGAAGCAATCCCTAACTAGGGAGAAGGGGATTAGAAGCGGAAGAGCTTTTAAAAAAAAATTTTAACATAATATTTTTAATAAAAGAAAACATAGGTTTTAGCAAGTGGATTCGTTTAGGCGAGTGGGAAACTGAGAAATGGTGTTTCATGCAATGAGGGTAAGCAAGTAATTAATACATAAAATATACATCATATTGCCTCTTTAAAGCTCTAAATCAGAAGATCCAATCTAAGGAGCTTCATTAGATTCTACATGACATCCTCTTATCTTTCCTCTTCATTTACTGCTTGTTCATTTAATTTCATACCAAGAACTCGTAATGTTGTTGCCCATGGGCTGGCTAAACGGGCATTGGCCTCTCTTTGTATAACTCTTTAAGTTTAATTCAAAAAATGTTTGGAATATTGCAATCAGTAACCACACTAACCATCAAACTATCATATTCTCTATATTATATGTATTAATGACATTTTTTGCCCTTTTTTCTTTTTCTTCTTTTTAATTATGTTTTCCTTTTATTTTTGTCTCCATTTAATTTATTATGTATATGTACTACTAAGGTTTTCATATTAATTATTTAAATTATGTAATTTCACTTTTAAACTTATATTTTATGTTTATACTATGATTAGAGTTTTTATAACAAACTAATTCGATTATAATAAAGTTAATTAACATATAGAACAAACAAATATTATATTCTATTTTTAAAAACGCAACCAAGTGTTTTCAAATACTGAAAAATTATACTGCTTTTAAATAATATGCTTTGCGTTTTCAAAAAAATGCTTATACTCAAATGAACATTTTATCACATTTCTTATTTTGTATTTCTTACACTATAATCTTTTTTCTTATGTTTAATTCGAAAGTTGTTCATAGTTATTATCACTTAGGGTATAACGAAAAATAATTGGTGTGCATATAATTATGTATTTTGGGTTGCATTTATTGTATTCCTTAAGGTATACATTTCTTAGTCGTTGTGCATTTAAATCGTTTGTTTCGGTTCTCTATGTTGTATCCCTTAGGGTATAGCGTCTAAAATTCAACATCGGTTTAACTCGGCAATGGTTAGTTTTAATTTCTACCACACCAACATCCACCACTACAATTAAATTATTAAAGATTGTGTTGCATACTTAAATAGTATGTAGTAGGGATGTTAATGATGGGTAAAAACTCAATGTGTACCCAAAACCCGGTTATAATTTCGGGTTTGGATACCCGATTTTATACAGCAAAACAAAGCGGGCTTAAAACGGGCATGTCTCATTTCTAACAGGTTTTATATGGGTTTTACCCTATCGGGTTTTGGGTAACCACGGTTTTTTCTGTTTTTTTTTTGTTCTATTAAATTTCTATTTACATTTTGTTTTACTTTGTTCACTTATTTACATCATTATAAACTCAATAAATTCAAATTTTTAGAAAAATTAAAAATTTTGAAAGAAAAAATTACAAAATTAAAATTAAATTTTTGCAATACAAAATTTTTGAATAAATTAAATTTAATGTTAAAAATAAGTGATTTTTTAATCATTTTTAGTTGAATTTGTAAAATAAAATAGAAATAAATGGATAGAAATCTTCTAATCAAATAATTGAAAATTATACCTAAAAACTAATATTTATTTCAAAACTTTTAGATTTTCATGTGTTAAAACTTTAAAAATCCTAAAATTAACAAATATTTTTAATATTTTTAGATTAAAAAATTCTCTCTAAGATATACAAGTATTCTCATCAACTAATAAAGTTGTGTGCTAAAATATTTGTAGAGACTATGGTCATACATGCAATTTTTAAATATATTTTATATAATATAAATTTTTATATTTTTGAAAATAACATATTTTCACAAATATAATAAAAGGCATAAAATAAATAAATAAATAAATTAGAAAACATCCCTAGTATGTATGGTTATTTTCGGGTTCGGGCTGGGTTTTTTTAACCATCTGTGCGGGTTATTTTTGGGTTCGGGCCGGGCTGGGTTTTTAACCCATGACAACATCCCTAGTATGAATGTAGTATACTATTCTATTTTATGTGTTTCTATACAGAACATTGTTTTCTTCGTTACCAATACTATTCATCATTGGAACCGCTACCACATCGTATACCCACCACCAGTCTACTGTATAACCACCAGAATTTTCATCAACACCAACACCATAGCCAGAACCAGGTTTACAATTATATCCACTACTTAAAAATTGTGTGAAATACTTATATAGTATGTAGAATACTATTCTATTTTATGTGTTTCTATATAGAACATGGTCTTGTTTGTTATCAATACTATTCATCATTTTAAAATTTTCATATCCGATTTTAAAAATTCAAGATATGTTGAATGGGGAAAAATATAAACTTTTTTACATAAATTAGAGAATTTATATTATATTTTTTGAAAAGATATATTACTAACAAATATAAAGGGGTAAAAGTTTTTATTCCAAAACAAGAAAATACAGCATATTGCCTTTCCTTGGTTTAAATGGTCACCGGCTGAATTATAATATTTTTGGAGGTTATCGATGCCAAAATCCCTAAAAAAAAATTTTAACTGAAAAAAAAATTCTTGTGTTGAAATTTCATCAAATGACTCAATGAGACGCATAAAATAAATTAATAATCAGCCAGCCCAATATTGTTTGTCCAAATCAATATCCTCAATGATTTGACTAATCCAAATCCATATTTCATGTTGTTCCATAAACAAGTGATTTTTATAAAATACTTTGTTCTAATATTGATTTACTCTCTAAAATACGGTTCAGATCATTCACAAGTCTGCAACACTTTCTAAACATCAGAATAAAAAACATATAACTGCATCTCTATGTCAGCTCACAAGGTCTCAAGCAAACAAAACATAATGACACATATAGAAAAAGAAAACAAAACAATAATCATCCATCTCCATGAGTTAAAGATCATTGGATCTTCCTATATAGTTGTATCATAGTTAATCTCTCTTGTGTATACATAAATTCTCCAACCTTTTGGGATTATATAACAGGTAAAATTATTCAACAAATTAAAACACATATACTATTAGTACAAATAAAAATGATATGACAAGAATAGTTTCAAACACAAATACATATTTTTGATTTTTAAAGAGTAGTGCAGTATTATTACTAATGGTATGATATTGAACTAGCCGAAGAACATTGCTGATATTGAAAAAAAAATGGATTGCGTCTGAATCATTGCTTTCTTAATCAAAAAGTTCGAAAAATTTATTACAAAATGATATATTTTGGTAAAGGGTATTACGAAATAACTGAATTCATCAAATCAAACATTTGGATCGTAAAACCAAACTGTTCTTCCCTTTGACTCTTGCACCGGTCTTGAATTTGTCTCAAATCCCTATTTTCAGTTGTTTGTAATTAAGTGATTAGTAGCAAGAAATTAAATAAATATTAGCCAATGAAATTACATAAATCAATTTGGACTAGTACTTACATCATGAACGGCTTCCCGCAGAGCTGTGATTTGCTCCATTGATATTGTATTAACCTACATATACATACACGGAAGATCATGAGTATGTAGTAAAGATCAAAAAGATCATTATATATAAATATGAAACAAAAATGTTAGTACCCTTTTGACGACAGTCCAGAGAACACCTTCTGTGCATGGAGGAACAGTGAGAGAGCCGATGTATCTATAGAATTTTCTGGTTTGAAACCTAATCTCTCTAGGATCAATCACCCCTAGATCTATCTCTTTAGTTCCCACTGATTTTATTCCATTTAGTAGCTGCATAGTTGTATATATTTGCATCATCAAAACACAATTTATAAAATACAATCTTCTAGCAATAATATATATTGTTATATAGGGTACCTTTGCGAGAAATTCATTGGGTTTGCCTAATTTGTAAAGAACACCAATAACAGCAGTTCTGCCTCCAGCACTGGTGTGAACCATGTGAAGCTCTAGGTCATACCTAGTTCCGTTGACGGTATGCTCAGATGGTGAATGCCAATGGCACTGCACCAATTTAAAATCAGTTTGACGTATTGTTACTTTCCCTGCATCTCCTTTCCACGATACCTTGAGAAATAAGTAAAAAAATGAAAGATTTCAAATGTTAAGTATAGTGATCATAATGTAATCAAGAAAGAGAGAATGAACTAAAGTTTAAAAGTATATTACCATAATGTCATGGCCTCTGTTAGTAATGACAGCAGGAGCTGGTTTGTATTGCCTTTTCCAAGCTTGATCGTGAATAAGGCTGACTCTTTCGTTAGTGAGATCGATGGGAGATTGGAATCTTCCGCTGTTACAAACTTTCCATTCCGGGTTTATTTGTCCCCATCCTTCTGGTCCGTTCTCTTTTTTTTGTTCATATGTGAATGGAGTTTCATCCACTGTTTTCAGATTAGATTGAAACAAAAAAAAAAACATATGTAAGTCTTGAGTTTTGATACGAAGATTTGAATGAAATAGAAGAGATCTAGTGACCATACCGACTTCAGAATCTGCGAGTGAGATTGTAGGGAATGATAAACATATGAAAAACAAAGCATAGAAGAAGATTGTTTTTGTGTTCAAGGAACCCATTTTTCTTCTTTTGCTTTTTTGCTCTTATGTTTTTATTATGTTCTCTTGAGTATGTTTTGAATATTGAAGATTTCAGAAGTACGTACACTATTTAAAATGGAGGCTTCAGGGGAAGGTTTGTTTCGTTGCTCTTTTTATAGTTTTTTTCCGTTGCTGCGATTATTAGTTAATATTTTGGTGTTACTACTTGGCAAAAAATGAATAACCGAATCCTTAGTGATACCATTTGGTTGTGTTTATCTACCATTTGGTTGTGTTTATCTAATTTTGGGTTTAATATCCAAATTACATACATGTAATGAAACTATGACAGTTTAACAGAGAATAAATCCGATCTGGACATTTAGAATCAAACTCATACAAAAGAGAATATGCCAAGATTAAAATAGCCTACTCAACTCACATTTTTGAGTTTTTTTAGAATGGAAAACAATTGGAAGAAAAATAATTTGGCAAATTTGTTTTACTTGTAAGTTTTAATATAAAAAAAAACAAAATCCAAGTTAAAAGATGCTTACTTTTACTTTTTTGGTTGGAATAGTTAAAAGAATTTGCCATTTTACTCTAAAAAGTTTTGATTTGCTATTTTTTTAAGATCTAAAAAAACATAAGCTTACATATTTTGTTTGGGTTTTCTTGGTTCCATTTTTTTAGGGTTTAATTGTTGTTTATAAAGTATATATTATAGCAAAAAACAAAAAAAAAACACATACTTTAAGAACATAAAAATGGAAAATCCACAAAATTTAAGTGAATATGGCACATTTAGAATATTTGAGTGAGGAAATGGCAAAATTCATAAGAACTCATAATTTGGTTCTCTTTCTTAATTTTGTTTTTTATCTGATATAGAAAAAAAAAATTGTATTGAAATTTCACCAATTATTAGACTCAGTGAGGCCCATAAAACTAATTAATAATCAGCCGGCCCAATATTGTTTGTCCAAATCCATATCCCGGATGATTTAACTAATCCAAATCCATATTTCATATTGTTCCATAAAAAATGATCTTCATAAAATACTATTAAGATCATTCATAGATGATTTACTTTGTTTCAATATTCATTTAGTCTCTAAAATACGATTAAGATCATTCACAACTCACAAGTGAACACTTTCTAAATATATAACTGTAATTGGAACAAAGATGGCCATTATTCAAACTACAAACGAAGACAATAATTATGAAATGTAAAAATTATGGGTTATAAATTTACAAGACAAGAGACTAACCTCAACATTTCATATATTTTATTTGTTCTATATTCCAATTTCCTCTCTCCCTCTCTCTCTCTCTTTGTACATTATCCATCTCCTCTAAGTACTTGAGAGAATTAATAGATCAAATAGGTTAATTAGCCCTAACAAAAAGACCCTTAAATTGATTTATATACATATTAGGACAAAACTAGTCAGTAAGGTGAACACTTAAGATGGTATCCTTTTGGTGCAGAAACTCTTGGAAAGACCATTAGTTTCTCTCCACCTTTCTCCTCCCATCTACACAAAACGAAAAAAAAAAGAAGAACGTAAGAAACCTCAAAATCAGCAATCACAAGTTCACAACATCAAAACAAGATCTAAGACTAATCAATAACATACCTATACTTTGTAACAAAGTAGTGAAGAAAGCTTGAGACTTCAGAGATTCCTAGTTCTTTGCCAGGGCAAAGTCTTACTCCACCACCAAATAGTAAGAAATAGCTCTTTGATTCTAAACTCTTTTCCTGGATAAACACAAACACTGTATGTCAGCTCACAAGGTTTCAACTAAGCAAAACATAATGACACTTAGAGAAAAAAGAAAACAAAACACTAACCATCCATCTCCATGGGTTAAAGATCATTGGATCTTCATAGATAGATGTATCATAGTTAATCTCTCTTGTGTATACATAAATTCTCCAACCTTTTGGGATTAAATAACCTGTAAAATTATTCAACAAATCAAAAAACACAAATACTATCAGTACAAATAAAAATGATTGGTTTTTTTATGATTGCAAAGTTAAAACTAAATAATTGAAATAAAAACCATAGAGGGTCACGGGGAGATGATTGCTTCGCTGGATTGGTTGGTATATTTTTGTAAATTATTGATGTAATGTAAGGTCCACATGCCCAATTTTATTTCTCAATTTTAAATAAATAAACTAATAATTATTAAAATTCCTTAGAAATTTAACAATCGAAAATGAGAAATAATAATTACCGTTGAGTTCCAAGTCATGAGTAGTTTTCCTCAGGACACCATTAACAATCGTAGCCAATCTTGATGTCTCAAAGATAACCTAATAAACAAAAATGGTCCAAACACAAACAATGTCAAAATCAAGAAACCAAAAATGAATAATTAATAGTTTAATTTTGTGTACGAAAACACTCACAGCTCTTGTGAATTTCATAGATTTAATATCGTCGAGAGTGAGCGGTTCGTCAGGTCGTTTTCTATCTCTAATAGCCAAATGTTCTCTCTGCAAAATCCAAAAACAAAAATCAATAACCGGACCGGGTTAAAGAAACCGGTTTGGTTTAGTGATTCTTTTCTTAAAGAACATACTCTGAGTTCTTCAAGAGCTTTTGGATGATCATGGAGATACTTAAGAGCCATCATAGAGGTTGTAGAGACAGTCTCATAACCCGAATACAAGATCGTTACCACTTGATCTCTTATCTCTTTATCGGTTAACAAGTATCGGTTATCTTCCTTCTTCATCAAGTAACCTAACATATCAGTGAAAGTCTCTCCAGACTCTCTTCTTTCTTCCATAAGCTCTGTCAGTAACCTATCAATGTTGTTTCTTGCCTGAAAAGCAACCAGAAAAATGTCAGATTATTTTAATTTTTTCGACTTTTTCTCTTCTAGATATCGGTATTCGAGTACTTACTTGGATTCCGCAGCGATAATTCGTCCCCGGGAGATCGATCGGGACCGATAAAGTTCCAACGACAAGCTTGAAAAACTCTGTTCTATATTCTTCAACCTCAGGTTTTTTCAAAGTCTCAGCTATCTGTAACAACGATGATAAAAACGCCATCTGTACAATACAAAAACATGAGTTAAGACATTAACAATCATCTCAAGTTTACGATTCTACCCTTTCAAGAATGATACATGCCTAATTTAACTATCTTTTACCTAAAATCTAATAAAAATAAATATACATTTTTAAAATAAATGTGAGGAAAATGTTAAGACTCAAATATACAAATTTCTTATGTCAAAAAGAATGATAGTAATTAATTTACTATTATAAAAAGTAATAAAAATAAATATACTCAAATGTAATTAATTTACTAATTCACTAAAAGAATTGTAGTAATAAATTTACTAATTAAACTATCTTTTACCTAAAATGTAATAAAATAAATATACTCAAACAAACATTAAAATAGTGAGGAAAACTTGAAGTATACAAATTTCTTTTGTCAAAAAGAATGATAGTAAATAATATACTATTATCAAAAGTAATAAATAAATTGCTCTGACATATCCAAAAAAAAACATTAAGTCCCCAATAAAGGATATAGACACGAGATTCAGATTCAATGTCTAAAAAAACTAAGAAAGAAAGAGAAAGAGAAGCTTAAATCAAACGTACATGTTTGGTCTTTTCTTGGATATCAACTGTCTCAAGTTCATCCCATCCACAAAGATAGTTTCTCATGAACTCATCAATCTTAGGCAAGAGATGGTCTTTCATCATGGCCGGGCTTATTAAAGAGAGCAACGAGCCTCTCATGAGCCTATGGCTCGGACCATGAACCGCGGCTATGTTGCATGTCCCGAGGATATCGAGCATGGACTGTGGGTAACCAGCGACTAGCCCTTTTGCTTCATTCATAAGAATGTATCTGTTTAGCTCTGCGTCCATTGAGACTATTGTTGGACAGCCAAGAATATGAGATTTGAAGAAACTCCCGTATCTGAAAATGTTACGGGTTTCGGATCAGAACCTCTTCGATTAATTTCGAGTATATAATAGTTGTAAAATGAATTTTTTTTTTGTACCTTAGTCTTTGGTTTTTCATGAAATCTGGACCTTGTTTGAGAAACTCAGTGGTTTCACCAAAGATTGGCCAACCCATGGTTCCAGGAGGAAGACCTTTCTTGGAATAACGCATCTGGTTCCATCGGAGAAGAGCTGAACATATGCATACAATGATCACAAGAAGACCCAAGATCATCATCATGATGCCCATTTTTGTTTTTTCTTTGGCTATTTTTTTTTTCTTCTTTGGTGCTCTGTTTTGAAAACAGAGAAAGAGAAGGACAGAGAGAGAGAGAGAGATGGTTTAAGAGTCTTTGGTTTGAGACTAAATGAGTCTGTGTGACATTGTTTATATAGGAACCTAAAGGGCAAAACATGGTTGTGAAAGAGAGAGAGAGAGAGAAAGAGATTTACTATATAGGAAGAGTCAAAGAGAAATGATAGGGTTTTTAATTTTAACCATACTCTGATAGATTTCTTTGTTTTTTATTTTGACCAAATGATTTCTATGTTTAAAAATGTTGTTTCAACGACCAGATTGTTACTGTTTTTGAAATAAAAAATAAGTAATTTATGGCAGTAGATTTTTTAATTGTTAATATTTAGTATTTCTATTGAATTGAATTTTAATGACTTTTATATGATTTTGATTATTTTAGGAAAGATTATATGATGTGTGAAATTCTTACAAATCTCATCATCTAAAATCATGAGATTTGATTTATTTAATTTTGACTAAGAAGTAAGAATATCTTTTATAATTCTTTGTAATCTTTCAAAATCATTTAAAAATTTTGAAATCCTTTAATTCATATTTGAATTTATTTTATGTTTACTATTTTAGAACAAATCTTGACATATCATGTTCTCTAGTGGGATTTTATACTTTCTTATAATAATCATGTAATTAATTTTGATAAATTTACTTACCAATAATTATTATTGTATTTATTTAAAATAGTCAAACTTAGTAAAAATTATAAAGTTAATTAAACTTATTGTCTTT